CTCTCTCTCTCTCTCTCTCTCTCTCTCTCTCTCTCTCTCTCTCTCTCTCTCTCTCTCTCTCTCGGGCAGTGGCTAGGCCCATAGCGTTTTATTTTGAAACTTTTGCCCACATCCTTGCGGACGCCATACCATAGAATGCAGAATGCTTGGTCACATGACCAAAGATTGTCGTGCCACCAAAGACGTCATCCAAAGTTTGATAAACAATGGGTAATTGAACTTGGTGCCCAAATCTATGCAAAATGAATCATGAGCCCACATATTGATCCGAGCTGCAAGACCTTAAAACTACGTAGCCTTGGTTTGAACTGTAAGACCTTAAACTACAGAGCCTTGGTTCGAGCCACAAGACCTTAAACTACGTGGCATTCGTCCCTGTGGCATGACGTTAAAGTGCACGACTTACTGGTCCTAGTTGCAAGACCATAAACTGCACTACTCTGTGTCCCTAGTTGCATGACCATAAACTGCACTGCCCTATGGTCCTTACCACATGACCCTAAATTGTGAGAATGTATGAGGGATTTTGAGTTGTACACCCCAACAAAAAAATGATGAAAACAGAAAAAGAAAAGAAAAATAAGGAAAAAGAAATGACAGAATGGTGTGCACCCCATAGCTATTTTGAAAAAGAAAAAGAAAGGAAAAGACGGCCATTGTGAAAACGCGCAAGGGCGTTATGGGCACACGTGTCAAAATAAAGGGAGTGTGGTGAAAACCTTTCGAGGCACTCACTCTCAAATGAGAGACATGGTGTCCACTCGAAGGCTACCATGGGAAAAACATGTCAAAAAAAGAAGAAAAGAAAAGATGACCATAGTGAAAACTCGCAAGGGCGCTATGGGCAAAAGTATCAAAATAAAGGGAAAATGAGGAAAATACTTCCTGAGAGAGAGAGGGAGAGGTAAAGAGAGAAAAAGAGAGAGAGAGAAGAGAAAGAAGAGAAGAAAGAGAAGAGAAGAGAGAGAGAAGAAAAGAGAGAGAAGAGAGAAAGAAGAGAGAGGGAGGAAGAGGAGAATACTGATGGCTAAAGAAAGGTCGACGCCTTCGTGAGAAAATCGATGCCTAGGTGGAAGGAGACCGACACCTTGAGAGGAGCATGGATGGATATGGTGTATAGATGGGTGTGGTGTAGGGATAGATACAGTGTATGAGTAGGTGTGGTGTATGGGTAGTATGGTGTATAAGTAGATATGGTATATCGGTAGGGGTGGTGTATAGGTAGGTGTGGTGTATGGGTAGATATTGTATGTGGGTAGGTGTGGTGTATGGGTAGATGTGGTGTATGGATAGGTATGATGTATGTATAGGTATGGTGTATGAGTAGGTATGGTGTATAGGTAAATATGTTGTAGGGTGTATGGAAGTAACGAGTATGGAAGTGAAGAGTTTGGAAGTGAGGTATGGAAGTGGAGAATTTGAAAATGTAGGATATGGGAGAGGAGTATATAAAGTCCTTCTCCTCTCTCTCAAGGATAAAAGGTTTTCAACAAAGCTCAAAAGAATACTTTTTATCTCTTAATTTCTACTCATTTCATTCAACATAAGCCATCATTTCAATCCTTAGGTTACAAATGAAACAAAAGTATTTATATAGAGCTATCCAAAAACATGGGTGGATACTCAACATCTAACTTAATTGAAAAAAAATATAATTAAAATGAATTAAAAATGAAATAAAATTTTGAGCTTGATTGGTTTTAAGATGAAGAATATATGACCTTCACAAGAAATCCCGTTTTTATAAAACACAGCTTCCATAAATGGAAACTTATTCATTGAGGCTCCTCATGAATGGTTTAAAACCTACCCATTTTAAGAAAGTTGGCTCCCGAGGGATTCAAATGAGCCGAAACTTGGTATTATGGGGTTTTTAGGCTTTCTAAATTATCTATAGTGGTCTAGTGCCCACCAAAAACCTTGGCAATATAACTCTAGTTATGAGATATTTTGGGTATATTAGAGAGCAGCATTAAAAATGAAATTTCGTTTTGATCTACCGAATCTTAGTTTGATCGAAACGAAACTTGATAGGCATGTTTGAGACATCAAATATCACACTCTTATGTTTCTTGAGGCCAGAATAATACATTTTCAAATTCTTCCAAAATTAAGCTTATTTTATTACGGACATCCGTAGTCCGCAAACATTTTTGGTACCTATGGGCCTAGGTCGCTACCGTCTTCCCCTTTATTCGTATCGGGGATACAAGAGTATCGAAAATACCCACCAACAACTGCACCTTCTGGATTGTCCGATCGCTGATTTGGGCATGATCAGGCGTAGATATCTCCTTTCTTTCAATAAGGAGCTTCCTTTCATCATATAAAGGGGATTTTTTTTTGATGCTGAAGTCACTCAAAGGTTGCTTTTATTGATGTCCAGCACTCCGTTACTAGTGCCTTGTTATTTAATACCACTCCCTGAGAAGCTTTCCTTAGTAAACGTTTTTTGTTGTGACCAAATACCCCAAAACACCTGGTGAGATCCACGATATATTTATAGATTGCTATCATTGTTGTACCTACATAGCCATCTTTGAGAAAAAATTCTTTGGATAAGTTCTGAAAATTTAAAAATGAATGAAATATTAGGCATTTTCTAAATTTTCAAAGAAAATAAAGGTGGCCGATCTCCCTAGATCTATGGTTTCCAATAAAATCTATAAGTGCTCTTTATTTCCTTATTTTTCTAATTTTTTCTTTCATTTTAGATTTGTTTCCATATTTCCTTAGTTTTTTTTCCCTTAATAATAGACACACCATAGGACTCAGCAAGTCAATTCTACTTAGGGCTCCAGCTAGTCTTGTGGTGAATCAGACTTTTAAAACATTAAAATGTACTAATAAATCCAATAAGAAATTCAATTGTGAATGTATAGTTGAGCAAGGGAATGTATTCTCATCTACAAAAAAAAAAAACTCAAGGAGAAACCAATCAATATTGGGTTAAAAGCAAATATGAATAAATAATAGATAAGTGGCAGCACAAGAACAATTAGAATTCAGATATAATGAAACTCACCTCCATAGACTCGAACCATCTCAACTCTACCTACTTCCTTAGCAAGTAAAGGCAACTCCTTTGACAAAATGCTTCCAATGTTATTGTTTACTGCTGAACCAAAAACAAGATAATAAGATAAGAATGATCAAAAAATAAATCAAACTACAAAGATAAGCCTTACATATATATATATATATATATATATATATATATAGTAGGATATAGTATTACTAGTCGTACTACGTTGTTAGTTACTACTAGTTAGTAATAAGTACGTACACTAACTTACCGTTACCGAACCCGTA